TCAGTTTACGCTGTTAGGTAAAAACTGTGTAAACGCCGTGCCCTCCGTGCCCGCTCCTATGCAACTGCCTCGCAGCAGAGGGGCAGTGCATTCCAAGTCCAGGCCCCGAAATCCTGGGAAGCGACGCAGCGTCGCGGGAAAGCGCGGAGGTCGTGGAGGCGCTTCTCGATGCGGGCTGCCTTCTTGAGCTCTGGCGCCACTGCGCGCTGGGCTCGCTGGATCAGCTCGGTTGGCATGGTGCAATCAGAAGTGCGCCCCGCAGAAGATGGCGTCGTCGGCGCGGCCTACCTAATATCCAAAGCAGAACGAGCACGTTGAAAAAGAACCACGGGACCGAATCAACGACGATAGCATGGCTGATATAGTTCCTCCAAGAAAAGGAGAGGCACGATATTCGACAGCGCCGTGTCGTAGAATAGCCGCGCGGCGGCGCAGACGGCCGCGCTTGGCAGATGCGCCCGGTGTAGACCGGGGCCGAGGACGCGCGCCACCTGCCCCGATCCCGAGACAGTCGTGCCCAGCGGCGCCGGACCCGCGAGCGCAATGGCCGCCCAGGCAGCGGCCGACTGCATCTGGAACTTGGCGCGCGCTTCGCCGCCGACGGCCAGAAGCGCCGCCGCTGCGTCAACGACCCAGGCACCGCGCTGGAAGTAAAACGACCTCTTGACAGCGTTGAGCTGGTCACGATACAGATGCAGACGCCGTTGCGCCACTGGCGCTGCTGCAGCCGAGCCCATGATCAGGTCGACGCCGAGGTAGCGGTACGACCTGCGGTGCGCAACCCGTCGTTACTCTGAATCGTTGCAGGGTTGGGTGCGAACGCCAAATGGCCTGGTCGACTTCCTGGGTCGCCGATGGGACAGAAAACAACTCAGCCCAAAAACGGGTCATGACGACGCGATCGTCCAGGCACGGGTAACGCACAGCATCAGGAACAGCTCGCGCAGCTGCGAGCTGCCACGCCGCAGACGTAATATCGCAGCAGAAGCGTGCAAGAGGGCATCCCTGCGGGGCGCTCACAATGGCAGAAGCTGGAAGCCAAACGTTAGAAGGTCGACCGGCCACGTTGACTATGCGTGTGAGCCGCTGGTAGTTCTCCAGGACGCGCGCGCAGAAAGAAAAGTTCAAGTGCTTGCGCATAGCGCCAAGGCTGTGCAAGTCCAGGTGGTCCTGGCACTTCTCGAAGTCCATGAACAAGACGAGGTAGGGCTCGGTAGTGCCAAGACGTGCTCGGGCGAACTCGGCCTGAAACTCCCGCAGAATATCCGGACGCGAGTGGCCAGGAACAGTTCCAGATTGACCCTTTGGTTTCCAGGCGACCAGCCACTGCGGTAGCGCATCTGTGTGACGCTTCGGCCAAAAGGTAAACTATCAGCAGCACTGTGACATGTTCGCCGGGCGTCTGCCGGGGAATGTTCCCCCCTCGGGATCAGCGTGACCCGGACGCGGGGCCAGAAGATTGTACTTCTGTCAGAACCGATGCGGGCCTCTGCAGCGAATCTTGGTGCTACCAGTTCGAGCCAGGCCGCGCGATAACCTTCAAGCCCACAAGCGCCATCAGGTAGGTGAGCAAAGATGTGCTGTGGGTGCCATGGCACAGGCGCCTGGTAGGCAGGGGCCTCCCGCAAGACAGACAAATCAATCTCCTGCCGATGAGCACGCCCAGGGGGAGCAGGCTTGTCGACAAGTAGGCCAGCTGGTAATGGAACTCGCGAATGATCAACGCGGGGGCCCGGCAGATGCGATGTCTGGTGTACGCCAGAATTCCACCGCTCGGCCAGCCCTCGGCCAAGACGACGGACGAGTTCACGAGCAGGAAAGACAGCTGTACCGAAGGTTGGAAGAACAAGTGTGCGCATAGACTCCCGAACGCCGCTAAACCCATCGCGTCGCGAAGCCCCTGGTCGAGACGGACTCGCGTCACGACGTCAAAGCGGCGTTGTTGGCATCGTCGATGATGGAGGCGATCACGCCCAAAGTGTTCTCGACATCGTCGGACCTCCCGCCGCGCAGCTGCCGCCGAAAGGTTTCCCAACGGCCGTTGAGCTCATGAGCTCGCCCCCCAACACATCATGCTGATCAAGAAGTTTGACGTCGCACGCGCGCCTCCCGCGAGCCAGCAACATCGGCCCATGCAGCCCAGGCATTACCGATGTCCGTCGCGAGGAACGTGTCGAACTCATCCTTGAGGTGTTGGGGCCAAGGCCCCCATGGTGACGGGATCGGCCGCTGCCCATCGAAGTGTTGTTTCGGTCGTAATCATGAGCCAGAGCAAATTCAACAATAACCAGCCGATGCTGGGAAGCCGCCGTTGGTGGGAGGGCAGTCGCCGAAACAGCTGCGGCGAGGCGCGTGGCACGCACGGCGGCGTCGATGGTGGTGGTCCAATTGTCGTACTGCGGGTTCAGCCAGCGCGTGGGCACAGCAAGGAATACAGACACCAGCCAGTCGCCATCGAAGAGCACTGGGAGCTCGCTGAAGCCCCCGATGTTCATTGTGAGAGCGTCCGGCCGCTCAGCGCGGAGATTTGCATCATGAAGCCGCCACTGTTGAGCAGAACCAGGATGAGCATGTCGATGATGGAACAAAACACGATGCTCGCCGGACTGCATTGCAAGACGCTGCGCAAGGAAACCTTCATCACTCGTGTCATTGGCCAACGGAGCCGCGTTGGGGCTGTAGCGAACTATGGTGAAGAGGCCGCCCCGACCCACTCAAAGATCGTAACCCATGGTTTCAATACTACTGCGTTATATGTGGTGCAACCCATTGTTCAAGGAACACTCCTGCAGAAGACACATGTGAGGCAAATGTTCAGCCATGAGGGCCATGAGCCTAAGCCCCCAGGAAGAAAAATTTCTGACGTGGAGAATCAAAATCTTCAGCGTAGACTTTCCATTGACCCTGATATCAACAGAGGCTGTCACGCTGACGCCAAGCATAGGCGTAGACGCTGTGCTTGTCCTAGGCGGGTTGGCGGTGGCGCTACAGGTCGGCGGCGGTGCCCTCGTTGAGGGCCGTTTTTATCAGCGCCATCCGCGATGCTCAAGTCATTGTGGTTGAAGAAGCCGTGCGCATCCTCTTTGTCCATGCATCCCGCTGCACCTTCCACCTTGGATCTGCGTGGGGTATGTTCAGTCTGGCCATGGTTGTGTCCCCTACGCCAACGCGGCGGCTGGCGTGTACCCCAGGAGGACAGTGCCTGCGAATCGGCACCGCCAATGGACCTGTGCGCCCTGCTGTATGCTGTAAGGCTGCCCCTGGTTGCACCCGAGCTGGCCGTGAGGCCGTTGCGTAAGAGTGGTCAAGCTCGACGCCAGGCCTCGCAAACGAGGCCGTCGGTGCTGACGCAAGAGGGCGACGAGGGTGCGACATTCGCTGCCGTAGCTGCGCCCGAGCTCCCGCAGCCTGGCAGCGCTGGGCACCAAGGTCCGCCAGTCCCCGCCAGGCACACGCGCCAGCGCCGCGTCGGGGCCGGCCCGTTCAGGAGGAGAGCCGCGTGCCTCTCCCTGCCGCTGCGTCGCGGCCGCCGCCCGAACAGACCAGGGGCCGCGGCAACTGGCCGCGCCCAGCTCGCCGCTTCGGCAGCGCATGAGGAGCCCAGAGCCATCCCGGCCATCCCTCGGAACATCGAGGACGCCGCGGGTGTCGGCGGAGAGCCGCGGCAACGCTCTCAGCAGACGCATCTGGACCCGACGCGCGCGCGCGGGGGCATAGCTGCCACGCCAAGCAGGCGCGTGGCACAGACCCCGCGCGCGGCCGTCGATCGTGGAATCTGACTTGTGTCAAAACGGATGGATCGGGGAAGGAGGGGGGTAGGGGACAGGGGGGTAGGCGGCAGGTCGAGGAAGATGAGGAGAGGGAGGAGGACAGCCCCCTAGACCAAACCAGGACCACCCAGAGCTCAGTAACTTCTTCGAAGACTCTCCTCCTCCCCCTCCTCCACCTCCTCCGGCTCCTCCTCCCTTTCGCTGCTTCCTCCCACCGCCAGAGTATGTCCATATCCATCCCTTCGGAGTCGGGCTCCAGGATCTCGAGGACTCCGCGAGTAGCGCTGGACACGGAACTCTTCCCCTCCTGAGGGCGGGAAGATATTCACGTCCACCACTCCCCTCGTATCCAAGGCATGACTCCAGAAGCTGTGGATGTCACTCCTCCCTCCCTTTTCCTGCTCCCCCCTCCTTCTGCTTCTTCCTCCTTCGATCGGCACGGCAGGTCCCGCCGGGACGAAGCTGAAAAAAGGAGGGGTCCATGACACAGAATGTCAGGCCCAGTCCAAGCATCGAAGACATTCCATTGGAGGTGAGCCTGCATGTGCTTCGAAGCGGCGCGAAGCTCCTTCCGTTTCTTTCCTCCTGGGAAGGTAGTTGAGCCTAACAGTGACGCAAGGGGTTTTCGCCCCCTCCTTGTTCGTTTTTGTTCCCCCTCCTGGCCCTTGATTCGTGCTCTGGGGACTGCCGCGATAGGGCGCGTGACGCTGCGCCTCTCTGCTCCTCGAGTGACGGGCGCGTCCGTGGATGTCCGTGGATTGCCCATCCGATCCTCCCCCCCCCCTTCCTGGAGGACGCGGGGCAGCGGGAGCGTGAAGAGGGCGCCGCCCTTTTTGTGGGGCAGCGAGAGTGTGAAGGGGGGGACCCCCCCCTCCCTTTCACGATCTCGCTGTGCCCCCCCGCCCCCTTCCTAGAGGACGTGGGGGACGCGAGAGGGAGGTCGAGCGGGGCGGCCTGCCCGCGGTAGAGGCCCGTCTTGTAGACGCCCGCCTCCACGGTGCCCGCCTCGGCCTGGAGCCTAACCTCCCCGCGGAAGGGGGGAGGGGGGGAGGGGGGGATGAGACGGATGATGATGCTGCTGATGATGAGACTGACCGCGATTGCGATGCTGATGCGATGTGCTTCTGATTCTGATGGTGATGATGGGTGATGCTGATTCTGGTGATGATGCTGGTGATGGCGGTGACGATGATGGAGATCGAGAGGCTGATGCTGATGATAGTGATGATGTTGATATTCGTAGCGGCTCGGGGGAGCGACTGCTGCCTTGCGCGCTTAAATGCCCCACCAGGAAAATAACGACCCATTTCAGACAAGATGGGCCGGTTTTCCGGGAACACCGAGAGGCACGCGGACGATAGGCTTGCGAGCCAGGCGCCAGCTCAGAGCTGAATGTAGCAGATGTAGACTGTGACGTAGTTGATGGCGGCACCAGGCGGCCATTCACGAAGTAATCCGCGACATCCCAGCCGACTTGGTCGTCGTTGCCTTTGAATTTGTCCAAACACTTGACGTCGAACTTGTCGTCGTCCTCGCGCACGTACTCGGAGTCCAACTGTAGGTTCCCGTGCCTTTCTTTGAGCCCGTTCTTGGTTTCCGTGCGCTTGCAGTTGACGAAGAAGCCCGTGCAGTCCCAAATTATGTCCTCGTGCTTGCCCTTCTTGATGCATGCTCGTCCTTGCACTTGTGCTTGTCCTTGTCCTTGTTCGGGTCCTGGTGATTGTCCTTGCGCTTGTTCGCGTAATTGTCCTTGATGTTGTGCTTGCCATTATTATTGTTCGTGTCCTTGTGCTTGTCCGTGTGCTTGTCGTTGGCGTTGTCATTGTCCTTGTGCTTGTCGTTGTCCTTGTGCTTGTCGTTGCTCTGGTGGTGGACGTGCTCGTCCTTGCGCTTGCGCTTGTCGTCGTCCTTGTTCGTGTCCGTGTGCTTGTCCTTGTGCTTGTCTTTGTCGTAGCCATTGTCCTTGTACTTGTCGTTGTCCTTGTCGTTGTCGAAAAGGTCGACACTGATTTCGTGCGTAATGTCAGCCAGGAGGTCCGACACGACTACTTCAAGGAACGAGAAGCCCAGGGCCTCGTAGATTGAGATCGCAAAAGCCGTGGTGGAGGATCGCGTCGCTGGAGGCGTGCATGCGGAAGAACTCACGGGACGCAATGCAGGCGAGGCACACGCCGAAGTAGACACCAGCATGTGCATGAATTGAAGGTGCACGATCATTGCGAGGTGCAGGAAATGTCACCGAACCGCATCAAGAGGTCGACCAGAAGGGGACAACGCCCAACGCCGACATCGAGGTCAATGCAGCCGCACGTGCACGACCTTGAGAACGAGGAGCTTGGCCAAGAACGCCGTGTCCGGCCTCAGAGGCGAGGCTGCCAGCACAACGGCTGCGCGGTCGGCGGGCGAGGGGCGTCCGCGGAGGGTCGCGCGAGCCTTGAGCAAAAATGGCGACGGATGATGGTGGTGATGATGCTGATGATGCTGCTGCTGATGATGATGATGCTGCTGATCATCATCAGGATGACGGTGGGGGATAGGGTGTCTGTACTTGCGGGCGTGCAACGTTCCCCAAGAGTCTGGCGCGTGAGCAACAACGTGCACGTCGGCAGAATGCAGTACGGTGGCCGTAACTGTTTCTGCGCAATTTCTGAAAAGTGGACTGGAATGACCGCTCGTGCACTGGAACACCTTAGCCCGGCGAGAGGACCAGCAGGTTATGCAGCTACGCGTAGCACAGGGCGTGAGCTCTATCTTCGCTGCTGACGCGCGACGGACATGCCCTCGCGTTCTGGATTGCGCGGCGCGACCCCGTGCGTACTACATCGCATGGATACGTTCCGCATGGGGCCGCGGCCGAGGAGCCCTGCCGGCGAGGCCGTGGGTATGAACATGTTTCCCGCCCACGAACTGCGTGCCGCGGGGCGGTGCGGATAGGGCGTTGCGGATAGGGCGTTGCGGAGCAAACGCGCAGAGTCGCGCTCAGCTCCTTGTGGGGCACACGGTCCACGTGAGAGGTGTATTGATCTGGGCGTGGCGATGCCACGCGAACGCGCCTGCTGGGGCCGCAGGTGGAGCTCCCCGTGGGGCACGATCCACGTGAGGGGTGTGGCGAAATGCACGGGGCGACGCCGCGCGAACGCGGTCACTGGGGCCCTGGGTGGAGCTCCCCATGGGGCACGATCCGCGTGAGGGGTGTGCTGGCATGGGCGTGGCGACTCCACGCAACTGCGCCCACTGGGGCCGTAAATGCAGCTTCCTGCGGAGCACGATCCCCGTGACAGTGCTGGCATGTGCGGAGCGACGCCAGCGAACACGCCCACTTGGGCTGTGGGGCGCGATCCGCGTGATGGCTGTGTCGAATTGCGTGGGGTGTGCTGACAAGGGCGTGGAGACGACACGCGAAAGCATTCGCTGGGGCCGTAAGTAGAATTTCTGGTGTGGCATGATCCGCATGAGGGTTGTGCCAGAATGGGCGGGGCGAAGCCATGCAATTGCGTCCACGGGGGCGGCGTGTGCTGAAATGTGCGGGGCAAAACCACGCGAATGCGTGTAGTGGGGCCGCAGGTGGAGCTCCCTGTGAGGCGCGATCCGCGTGAGAATTGTGCTGAAGTGGGCGGGGCGACACCACGCGAACGCGCCCACTGAGGCCGTAAGTAAAGCACCCTGTGAAGCACGATCCGCGTGAGAGGTGTGCCAATACTTGCAGGGCGAAACCGCGGGCACGCCGGCCCACTGGGGCTGCAGCTCCCTGCGGGGCACGATCCGCGCGAGAGGGGTGCCGAAATCAGCGGGGCGACGTCATGCGAAAGCATCCACCTAGCGTGTAGATCCCTATGGGGCAGAATCTCTGTGAGGGGTGTGCCGAGATTGGCGTAGCGACGACACGCGAGCGCATCCACTGGGGCCGTAGGTAGGGCTTAAGGCTTCCTGTGGGGCACGATCCGCGTGAGGGTTGTGCCAAACTGGGCGGGGCGACGCCTCGCGAACGCGCCTACTACTGCGGCTGGCTGTTGGGATAACAACAAAAACTGGGGGCGGGCCCCGAAGCGGCAATCGGGACGGACGAAAAAGGGGGTAGCTGGGTTTCGGGCGCCTCAAAGCGTCGGATGCGACCATGTAACATGTATCCGGGGATGTGCCCAGCAGCGGGGCCGAAACCAGCTGCATGCAGCAGAGTTCCACACTTCCCCCTTCCCCACCCTCCCCTCGACCGCCCCGAGCCCAAGAATGCGGACGTCTCGCTTCTGCTCTGCCTTCCACCGACGTCCCCACAGGTACCTCACTTCCGCTGGCTTTCGCCGGTCCTCCGCAAGCTCTCGCCGAGGGCGGGCTGCGCCGACGGCGAGGCCCTCTCTGGAGCGTCCTGGCCAGGAGCGGGTCTCCGAGGGACGGGCACCGTCCCCGGCCGGACGTCCGTTCGCCGTGCGCGTTTCGATGTTTCGTGCGTGGGTTCTCCCTGGAAGACGGTCCAGTATGCTCCTCGAGAGCCCTCGCCCGAAAAATAATTGGCTTCGAGCGATCCCCACCGAAACTTTGGGCCCCTGACAACTTTGGGCCCCTGGTTTTGGTTTGTTCTGTGATGCTCTCTACTGTGCTCTGGTTTGGCTTGTTCTGTGATGTTCTGTGGTTCTCTGTTATGTGACGTTCGGCTCTGGTTTGTTCTGTGATGTTATGGTGTACTCTTTTCTTTCATGCTGTGCACTGTTTTGTCATGCTCTGTCATGCTCTGTTCTGTTCTGTCGTGTTCTGTCTGCTATGCTGGTCTGTTCTGGCGTGATCTGCTCTGGCAAGTTATGTGAAAGTATGTCATGATATGTTGTGCAATGGTACTGCCATGATATGTTATGTCATGCTATGTCATGGTTGTTTTCTGTGTTATTATCTTATGTTGTGTCGCGTTGTGTTATGTCGTGGTCGTCGCTATGTTCTGTTGTCGTGCTATGATATGGTATGAACGCTCTGTCATGATATGACATGTTCCGTCAATGTGTGCTATGTTATGCTCAAGTATGTTATGTTAAGGTGTGTTATGTCGCTTTATGTTCTGTAATGTTCTGCCCGGGTATGTTTTGTGATGTTATAGTATGCTCTATGTTGCCATGATATTGCTATGTTATGTTACGTCATGTTCTGTTGTGTACAGTTGTGCTGTTTCGTGTTTGTCGAGGGCGCGAGGCGGGACTCCCAGGGACACTCGGAGACTCTCGGGGACACTCGGGGGCTCTCGGGAAACCTTGGGGTCTGGCTGCCGCGGTATGCAGTCGTGTTTGTCGAGGGCGAAGTGGCGGGATTCCCAGGGACTCTCGGGGGTACTGGGGGATTCTCCGGACACCTTTGGGTCTGGTGGCCGCGGTATGCAGGGTGGGGTTGGCCGGGGGGTCTGTTCTTGAAATCTAACAGCCCCAACCTGCTGGGTGGGGAAAAATGCACACCTCCGAGCGATGCCAGGGCCCTGGCCTTCACCACGTCGGTGGGGTTCGCCAGGATGGCGCCCGCGAAGCCCGTGAGCAGGCCAGCCAGCACCCTGGTGCCGAAGACCGGCGCAGCCTGGCCAGACGGTGCGCCCCACGGCACCACCTTGCGCGGGGCGCCAACTCCTCCTCCTCCTCCTCCTCCTCCTCCTCCTCCTCCTCCTCCCTCCTCCTCCTCCTCCTCTCTCCTCCTCCCTCCTCCCCTCCTCCTCCTCCTCCTCCTCCCTCCTCCTCCCCCTCCTCCTCCTCTCCTCCTCCTCCTCCTCCTCCCTCCTCCCTCCTCCTCCTCCTCCTCCTCCTCCTCCTCCTCCTCCTCCTCCTCCTCCTCCATGGCTCAAGATGTGCGGTTCCCGCGGGGGCCAAACGGATACCGTTTCGCTTCGTTTCGCGCGGCCTGTCCCCACAGGTTAGGACCAGCGCCTGCGCCAGCGCGCGGGCGGCTCCTGGCGCTGGCGGGCACAGGAGGCGCGGCGGCGAGGGCGACAACGAGTGCAAGATGGCTGGCGGTGTGCTGCGGGCCAAGAGTGCTGTGCGGCAGGACTGGACGTGCAAGTCCTGCGTCAGCATGAGAGGGCGAGCGGCCGTCAATTGGGGGACGGCGCTCAAGTGTCAGGGCTGCAGGCTGCCCAAGGCCACGTGCTTCGGGGCGAACGTCCCGCTCCCTGCGGCGGCCATGTCGAAGTCGAAGTCGGGCGCGGCGCCTGGAGGCGGCAACGGTAAGGCCCCTCCCTGGGCTGGGCCTCCGCTCTCGGTGCAGCTGGCCCAGGCGCAGCGCGAGCTTGCTGACCTCAAGAAGCAGCTCAAGGCCGGTGGGCCTGCCAGCGCTGGCGGGCCGCTCGGCGGGGCGCAGGCCATGGAGGTCGACGACGGCGAGGGCGCTGGTGCTGAAGACGCGGCGGTGCTCGCCGAGCTCCACATGTGCGAGTCGGGCCTGCACGCCATCAAGGATCAGACGGCGGACTGGGCCACGGCGCCGCGGGAGGAGCTGCGCGCCAGGCTGGAGAAGGCCAAGGCGCGGCTCTTCGCCAGCAAGCAGCTCCACGCACGGACGCATCTGGCATGCCATCGCCAACAAGGCCAAGCAGTGCGCCGAGCGCTTGGAGAATGCGGAAGGCGCAGGAGGCCTTGCGGCAGGCTGTGGAGGAGGTTGCCGACCTCCTGGAGCAGCAGGCGGCGCTGCAGGCCGAGCTGGCGCAGCTGCAGCAGCAGGCGCCCCAGGCCCCGCCGCCGCGGCCTGCGGGCCAGGCCATGGCGCAGGACGTCATCGGCGGGCTCGGCATCACGGCGGGCGAGCTGGAGGCCGTCGTGCTGCAGCAGCTCCCGGCCCACCCGAACGAGGAGCAGCCTGTGCCAGCGGAGGCGCAGAAGCGTATGGCAGGCGAGCTGGGCGAGCGCGTCGCGGAGTTGTGCATGTCCAAGCGGGCGCGGCGCGAGGAGGCCCCCGCCGAGGAGCAGGCCAGCACCAGCCAGGACCTCGCCAGCACCGCAGGAGCGGTGCGCGAGGGCGCAGAGCGGGACGGGCAGCCCCAGCCAGCGCACGAGGCAGCAGCGCCTGGTAGCGGCAACGGCTCAGCCGCCGTGCCGCGTGGGCAGCCCGAGGAGGAGTCTGTGGAGCAGCTCCAGCAGCAGCTGCGGAAGCACGGCCTGGAGCTCGATGGCGGCGAAGAGTCGGTCGTGCGCGCCCGCTGCGCTGCGCTGGGCAGCGGGGGCTTCCAGCCTTACTAGGATCCTGCTGTTCCTCAGCACGTGGTTTGGCGCCATGGCGAAGGGTGGCATCTTCGCGGCGAACGTGACGGCGGGGGGGTCCCTGGCGCCGTGCGTCGAGGGCGTCTGCGAGCGGGCAGAGGCCGTGGTCCTCCTGGTCCAGGAGCACCACGTCAAGGACCACGACAGTCTGGCCGCCTTGCACCAGGCCATGCTGGACCACGGGCACGCGGGGCTCTGGGCGCCAGCTGTTCAGGGGCCCCGTGGCGAGGCAGGCGCCTCTGACGGGGTGGCGGTGCTTGCGCGCTCGCACATCATAGGCACCGGCCCGCCTTTCCTGGAGAGCCCCGTGCTCCTGGCCGCGCGTCTGGTGGCCCCCCATGTGCACTGGGGAGTGGCGGGCGGATTCGTCGCCATCTCTGCGTACTTCCACGACAGTGCGCGGTGGAACGCGGACAGCCAGCACGCGGCGGCCGTCCTCATGAAGTACCTGGCCAAGCTCAGCGCGGCTGGGATCGACTGGATCGTGGGCGGCGGCTTCAACATGGAGCCCGAAGTTTCCCGTGCAGCAGCTCCGCGGGGTCCGCGGGCTGTGGGGGGCGGCAGAGGATGTCACCTGCAGGCCGCGTGCTGGGGCCTGGTCGACGCTGGACTATTTCCTCTTCGCATCCAACCTCGCCCCGAGGCTTGACAGGCCGCAGGTCGACGAGCACGGCGCGACGAAGCCGCGCCTGCCCGTCGCAATAGAGCTGCACGCACAGGACCTTCCGATGCAGGTACGGGTGGTGAGGGGCCCGCGGCCGATCGGCCCCGCGCCGCCCGCGGGCTGCAGCCGCGGCGTGGAGGACTGGCGCAGGCCCCTGGCCAGGGTGCGCGCAGCCGTCAGCCGAGAGCACCTCCCCGAGGCCTGGGACGCTGCGGTGGCTACAGTCGAGCAGGAGCTTCTGGGCCGCCACGACGTCGTCGGGCACGACAGGGCCAAGTACGTCGGCAGGTCTGGCGCTCTGGAGACGATTGTCGTCGCTGTCAAGTGGCGACCCCCTCGACGCAGGACCGCGCTCGGTCGCCAAGCCGCGGCGTGCCGCGTGGCGCCGAGGTGGGCTCGGCACCTGATGAGGGTCGGAGCGTGCGGCGCCAACGCGGTCCGCCAATTCCACGGCGCCAGCCTCCTCTGCCCGCTCTTCGACGCCTAGTCTGACGAGCTGGCGGGGTTCCTGCTGGAGGCGGCGGCGTACCTCGACAAGATCATCGCCAGCCGCGGCACGCTGGCGCTGCTGCCGCACTGGGTGCAGGACTTCCTCGGCCAGCGGATGCTGATGTTCGCGCGGGCCGACTTCGCGGGCCAGGCGCCGAGAATCGTGGAGTACGCAAACGGTCAGTACGGAGCGGCCCTCGCGGCGCAGCAAAAGGAGTGGGTCAAGTGGGCCAACGAGTCCTTCTCCCGCGGCGCTGGCCGCGCCCATCGGTGCTCCAAGGTCAGGGGCTTGCAGGAGGTGGTCACGGCCTGGCATGGCCAGCAGCAAGATGCGAGCCCGCACCTGGCGCGCGATCGGGGGGCGCAGCCGTGGGCTAAGGTGTGGCGGCGCCATGGGCTGCAGCAGGCGCGCAGGCCTGCGGACGTTGAGGAGTGGGATGCGCTGCCCGAACTCACCGTCGACAAGTTGAAGAGGGCTGCGCTCTCATTCCCCACGGGCACGGCGATGGGGCCTGCCAGGATAGGCATGCATGCCCTGTCCTTCCTGTCCGAGGACGGTGTGTATGTTTGCGCGCAGCTCTTCATGCGAATGGAGTAGTTGGGCGCGTGGCCTGAGGGCCGCCTGTGGCGCGCCATGCGTCGGCCGCCCAAGCCCTCTGGAGGTGCATTCTCATCGCGCTCATGCATTATTTGGTGCGCTGGTGGTCGAAGGCGCGGGCGGACATCTCCAAGAGCTGGCTCATGCAGCACCCCAGCGCCGACATCTGGGGGCTCGGCGCGGGCCGGTCGTCGTCTAATGCAGCGTTCGACCTGACCCCGAGACCGAGGTGGCGGTCGCGTCGGAGGAGCAGGTGGTCACCGTGCTCCTGGACGCCTGGAAGTTCTTTGAGTGGGTGATCCCCGAGGCCCTGATCCAGAAGGCGCGGCTGCTCAAGATGCCGCTGCCGCTGGTCTGGTCTTTGGTGGAGCTGCACAGACAGTCCAGGCGGCTGCAAGCGTTCGGCTCGGCATCCTACGAGGTTGTGTCCTACCGAGGGGTGCTGGCTGGATGCGCGCACGCGCGCGCTCGTGTCGGTGCTGATGTACCGCGCGATGGAGCGGGCGCGCTGAAAGGGGCGCCGCTCCCAGGGCCCTCGTGGACGACGTCGCCCTTCAGTGGGTCAGGACCGCGGGCAGCAACGTCAGCGTCTTGTGGGCCGCGGTCACGCGCTTCCGTGAGGAGGCCAAGCACCTGGGCATCATCGTGCAGCCCGCCAAGTCTGGCTACGTGACCTCGTCCAAGGGCCTAGCCGCAGAGTGCAGGACGCATGCGGGATCCCGCGGCTTGCTGCTGCTACACTGGGCTCGCAATCTAGGGCATGACCTTGGAGGAGGCAGGATCCAGCGACGGCGGACCAAGCTGCGGCTGAAGGTGCTGGCGCGGCGGCGCGGGCGCCTGGCGGCGCTGAAGCGTGCTGCTGGCCGCCAGGTCGCCGTGCTGCGGCGCGCGGGGCTGCTCCCTAGCGCCGGCCACGGCGCGGGCGTCGTGGGCATCTCCGACGACGAGTTGCAGAGGCTGCGGGCTGAGGCCAGCTGGTTGGCGAGGGAGCGGCCAGGCCCGTCGGGCGCGACGATCTACCTGGCCACGCAGCGCAGCGCGAGGTTTGATCCAGTCTACGAGGCGACGGTGGCGCTCGTGGTCAGGTACTCCAGCTGGATCTGGGAGCAGAGGACATCTTTGGGCAGGCTTCAGCGAGCGTGGGCCTCCATCGCGCAGCGGCCCGTCGAGAAGCCGACGTGGGGGTTGGCGCGCGGCCCGGTCGCCTCGACGACGCTCGCGCTCTGGAGGATCGGCTGGTACATGTGATCTAGCTTGGTGCTGGTCGCTGACGATGAGCAGCACATCAACATGCTCGCCACCTCGCCGTCGGACCTCAAGGCTTACCTTGTCGAGGGGGTCAGCCGCTGGCAAGGGCGACAGATCCTCAGCCACTTCGGCGGCGCGCAGCCCACGGGGCCGATCTGGATGCGGGTCCTGAGGCTGCGCGCGGGGGGTAGGGGTGCCGCTGTTGCCGAAGGGCCTGCTGCCACCAGCCTCAGGACCCACTGGGCAGGCGCGCCGTGGACCAGGCAGGGGCAGCTAGACGTTGGGGTCGCTCCCGAGGGCACCTGTCGCGGAGGCGGACGCCCCTGGTCACAGGCTGTACGACTGCGAGCGCGGCACTTCCCTTTGGAAGGAGGGTTTACTGCAACATCGTTGATGGGTCTTGGGTTTACACTGGTCCTTCTCCTCCTCCTCCTTGTCCTCCTCCTCGTCCGCTCCGCGGGGAGGCTAGAAATGCCACCACTTGCCGCCCCGAGAACAGCGAATTCGTCTTGGGGAACACGCCAACTCTCCGGCCAGGCCCCGCTTCGCAAATGCTGCCCCCTACGTTCGTTAAGAACCTCAGTTCACTTGGTTCCCGGCCGACCGCCGTCTGACCACCTCCTCCTCCTCCTCCTCCTCCTCCTCCTCCTCATCTACCACGAAGATCATATTGCGATGTGTGTTCGTATTTTCTTGGTTTCCCGGGGCGCCGTTGTCACCATGAACTCGCCTTCGGAATTTCTGGCCAGAGTGCACCCCCGGATAGGTCTGGAGGTCGGTTTCGACCCTCACCAATCAAGGCCCGCATTGAACGCCTCGCGAAAATGAAGATTGCAGAAAAAACAATGCCCCATTTTTCCCCAGATGAATTGGGATTTTCCTCTGGGGCCGAGAGGAAAGCCCAAGAAACGCCACGCCTCTTCCGAATCCAAGGCGCTCCATCCATCGACGCTCGGACTGGGCACCTTGTCGCCCTAGTGGAATCCCCCGATCTTCTCCCAACCAGACACACCGCGCGAGGCCCAAAGCTCCTCTCGACACTGGCCTTGACGTGTACGCCTCAGCCCGCTTGAACAGCTCCCTTGCTGTGTGCGAGGGTCCGACACAGAGCATGCTGGAGGGGGTGCAAGGTGCACCCCTCTGGTGTAGGAGGCCAGAAAAGGGCCAAACACAGCCAAACATTTTAGTCCTCGAACCCCGATGTTCCATCGCGACACCTCCCCAGAAGTTTCTGGAGTCCCGGAGGCTTGACCGCTGCAGTCGTTGGCACCTGCTGCCCGCTGCAGCCGCCAACTCCCTGCTTGATCGTGTCTGCCGACCCTGCTGCGCGCTGCTACTTGCTGCTTGCTGCTGCTGCTGCTTCTGCTGCTGCAGCTGCCTGCTGGTGCCTCATTACCGCTTTGTGATTGCCAATGCACGCCCAGACACAATAATACCCGATATAAAAGAGCACATTGCGCGTCAGACCAGGAAACGATGAAAAAACGAAACTGGCATCTATAAAAACGTTCTCTCGGATTGGCGCCGGGCACGATCAACAAACACATCGCCACGGAGACCTGGAAACGACGAGTAAACGACAGCCAGAAACTATTGAACAGCTAGTTTTTGAATGACAGCTAGAAAACATGAAGAAACGCCCTGGGCGCTTCCAAGTCATACTCACTTATGTATACTTTCCCCTTCTCCCTCCCTCCTCCTGGGTTAGATCCTACCTCTTCCCTCCTCCACCTCCCCCTCCTCCTCCTCTTCCCAGTCCCCCTGCTGCCTCCTCCTGCCTCCTCCTGGGCTGGACCCTCCGTCTCTTCAACCCTGCGGAGACCCGCGCCTCGCGCCAGCCCGCGGCGAGACGATGGCAGTCGGGTAGTCGTCAGCCTCATCCTCTCACGCCTTCTCTCCCCCCACATCTCCCCATCCCAACCTCCTCCTGGGTTAAATCGGCGGGTGCGGGGTCCGTCTCCGCAGGGGCGCGGGGCGCGA